TAGTAACCCGCGCCGCCGCACCCACGACTTCGCCGATCTCTCCCTCCTCTTCGTCACTTTGCCAGGCGTCGCAACCTGACACCGTTTCCGCCGACGCCCGCTCGCTCTCAGCGCATCTTCCATCGATAACTCATTGTCTCAAAGGGCCCCTGTTTATTTTACGCCAGTTTGCCTAAAACTAGACTCAGTCACTGGACGAGTTTCATCCATTGATCTCGAATTACCCAACAGCAATACCATCTATAAATATTTTTAAAATTTTCAGTTCAAATTTCTCCAATCTTTACCAAAAGCAATTAAGCTTTAAATCCAAAAAAAAAAATTGCCGCTGTGCTTCGTGTTGCAACTTTGATCCACATATATCGGTGCTTGAAAGAAACTTCATGCTTCTAAAAGCTCTTAAGCTGAAACTGAAAGTCAAAACGAGAGCCTAAAGGAAAAAAGGAAACTTGTCAGATACCAGAGCTCCTGTGAAAGACAGCATGCACACCTATATTTACCCGGGATACCCTGGCACTCGTAAGTAAATACTGGCACAGTAAGAGGAGTTACCCCTACCCTCCCCTGCCCTCCCCTTTCCCCATGATATCCTTCCTTCGTTTCCCTCGGCCACCCATTATCCACGCATATCCACCTGCCCCTGACCCCCTACTCAGCACCCTCTCACCCCCTTATTTTGCCAACGGGAGTGTTAAAACTAGGCTCAAACTAGGCACCGCCCCCCCCCCCCCCCTCGGCATCTTAGAAAAAAAAAGAAGAAACTTCCCCAAACTTCACTGGCTCTCCCTAAATCCATGAAAAAAAGAAACACCAATAGTTCCTCCCTTCTGTAAACTCAAGGTCGACCTCGAAGTACTTTGCCCCAACTCCTTCCGCCGCGGTGTCGGAGTGCGAGGCGGGCAGCAGACACCTCTTCCTTCACATGCTCCCCCAAACCACCTGACATGCGCCTCCCCCCACAAATAAATTACATCACCTTTTTGTTTTATATTAAGCCTTTCGATATGAGAAGATACTAGATCGAAAATGATCATAATGATAATCCTGATAATGATGGTCATACAGCGACTAATGGAAGGGGAGTTCACCCTTGGGAGTGGGAGTAGAGGAGATAGAATGACTATCTTAAAGGGTGAATTTTAAGCATATTAGGGAGGAAGGATATAGTGTAGGATACTGACGGTGTCCCATAATTCTTTGCATTGCCCTTCCCTCCTCTGGCACGCAGGCAGGAGGTGCCGTTCTATATTGGCACTATAGCGGGAACGTCGGCATGGCACCCTCAAAATCGGGACGTTAAAGTTATTGTCAAAGGACTGACGGGTGGGTGTATGCATGATCCTGCTTGCTGTTTCACTAAACATGCATAACTATCTCTCTATCTCTCTATCTATCTATCTATCTATCTATCTATCTGAAAAATGACAGTCTCAAATCAAGTTAAGATTTAGGGTAGAGATTCCAACAGATGAACAAAGAACAAAAAACGGAGAAGTTCTATAGCTATATCTGTACACCCGAGTTCTTAACGAAAGACAGATGAATAGACGTAGTACGTTTAACACTCCGTTGGTTGTCATTTGGCAGCTAAAATGTGTCGGTTGAACGTCAAGACAAAATTAACATGAAGTATAACAGACTCTAGTCTTTAGGTTACAAAAATATTCAGATGTTCAATGATAGGTTATAGTAACATATTCAGTTACATGTAGGTCAGTGATAAAGCACTTTTTTCCAAGTCCGAACTGATAGTGATATAATGATTGTACATGTACAAGTGCTAGACTTGTGTCCTAAAAGTAAGCCATGATGTGCGTGCATTGTTGCAGAGATGCTGGCTGGCCGTGGCCTCGCGACCGTGCCGGAAGAGGACTTTCTTCCCGAGGTGGGCGAGACGCCGGAGCTGCCCACCGCCTCGCCGCCGCCCGTCTCGCTGCCCCTCCATTACAACACCGAGGCCCACACCAACACCTTCCTGGAGTCCTCGTCCCCCACCCACGCCCACTCCCCGTCGCACAAGGCCATCGCGCCCCTTCCTCAGCAGCACCCCTCCGGCGTATTCCCCGCTGGGCAGATACCACTGCAGCAGCAGCACCAGCACCAGCAGCACCAGCAGACATCAATCAAGTCACCGCAGCAGCACCAGCAGCAGCAGAAAGAGTCGCAGCTGGTCCCCCTCCCCACCCAGTCGCCCCCCGCGCCCTTCCAAGCCTCCCTGGGAATCGCCTCCGTGCCTGCTCAAGCCCAGCACCTCCAGCCCCAGCAGCAGTCCCCGAATTCCTCGCTCCAGCTCCAGCAGCCGCCCACCCCGCCCCAGCAACAGTTGCAGCAGATCCAGCAGCCCCTGACGCCGCCCCAGCAACAACTGCAGCAGCCGCTCTCCCCGCAGCTGCAGAGTCAGCAGTGCCCCCGCTCCTTCATTCGCAGTCATAGTCAGCATGACCTCAGCACGCCGCCGCAGCCGATCTCCCTCGGCGACAGCTCCTTTGTCGTGCCAAGC